CAATGATCTATATTTAAATTAAAAAAAAACAGTGGCTACCTGCTTAAATATCAAGTGCTTCAGTCGTGATACTATCATCAAGTACTCGACGTTTGTCATAGTAGTAGTTGAGCGCTGTTTTGTTTTGGGTGTAGGTGATAATAGACTTGGTTTCTTTCAATAGTCTATAGCCCTTGTGTGTACCTTGTAGCGTGATGCGATCCCATACGACAGTCTCAAACCCATCAGGATTTAGAATTTTTTCACCAAAGTAGCTACCAATCAACTTGCGGGCTGGCTTTGCTCGTATTTGCTTGTGCGCCTCATTGTGATCGAACATGTACTTACCGCGGCTTCCACTGCATCGCGTAGCACATTATGCAGAGCACCAAGAAGGTTCCTCAGCAGGATACAGGCTCAGGTGAGGGATGAATTCAAGCGCCTGCTATTTAAAGAGGATTAAGTATACGTTGAGTCTATTTAGAAGCTTCAAGCCTAATGACCTACTACAGCTCGATGTGGTTGAGGACTGCTTCCAGCTTGGTATTTACGTATACAGCATGGATGTAGCTACCGGAAATGTTGAAACATTCGTAGGTCGGACAATGGGTATGAAGCTATGAATATTCTATCACACGAGAATCTTGCTCTCTACATCAAGAACATCGATATGCTTCAGTCTAAGTATCAGTGCGCCAAGTGTGAAATGATTTTCGTAATTGGTAAAAGATTTAAAAATCACACGAAAACCCAGTACGAGTATATGAATATTGAGAGCTTCACCACCGAGCCAACTATATACAAACCGGCTTAGAACACGATACGATCGCTGCTTACGAACTATTCCATCAAGGATGCTGACTATTACATCGATCACTTCAGCGTTAATGACTTTGAGGCCATTCTTAAACCTACCGCGACTCAACACGGGAATAATACTGTTTTTACGAACGAACACATTCCTGTGTCGGTATTAGTAGCTGATAATTTAACCGAGGGGGTGCGTTGCTTTGTAAATGACGACCCCAAGATTTTGCTTATGAATATGTTCAAATACATTGGTGATGTATCGGCGAAGTTCCAACAGTACAATGTCGATAGTATAAGTCGCTTCTGCAAAAAATCATCAATGCACATGGTCTGACAGGTATGGAAGTCCCAGGTGCTAATTCTGATAAAAAGTACAAGATGTCGGATGTGAAGAGCTAGATTAAGGGAGGGAAGTATGATAACTTCTTCCACTTCCATATCAGTCTTGGTTTTGGTAAGCAAAGGTCTGATTATGGGAAACTGAAACAGCAGCTTGACCAGGTACCAGTTCGGCTTCAATTCTGGTCGATACGATATTAACTTGATTAAGAAGGATTTGTTCTCCGTAATTGGTATCGACAACCAAAAATCTGTCATCAGAACCCCCAGCTACATGTGCATTGCTACAGCGGACATGAAAATGATTGATATCACTAACTATGTACCAGCTGGTACCAGCTACAAAAAGAATCTTACAACATATCTCGGTGGCTGCAAATGCGATGCCAAAATTAGATGTGTCCGTGGTCATGGTAGGGGTATTTCCTTACGAGTACATCACCGCGTTCAATGTACTAAACCAGACGGCTATCCCGCCTATGTCAGCTTTTGATAGCAAGCTCCGTAAAACAAGCATCACCAGCGATGACTACAAACGAGTGAAATTCGTGTGGGATTACTACGAGATGAAATCGATCACAGTCCTACTGATCTGGCACAATAATTTCGACGTAGTTCCTTTCACCAAAGCTATCAAGGCTCAGCGAGGGCTATTTATGCGCTTCGATATCAAGGCTCAGCGAGAGCTATTTAAGCGCTTCGATCTGGATGTGTTTGCGGATGGAGTGTCTCTACCTGGTCTTTCAGAGAAGGTCATGTATCAGACCTGCTTCAATAATCTCCAATATCCGGATAAGAAACCTGCTAACGCATTCCAATTTCCAGCTAAGCGAATGTCTGGCTACAAGAGTCAGGATGCTAAGGCAAAACGAAATTTCGGTATGACACTCGAGCACGTGAATACATTGCTGCAAAAGCAAAATAATCTGTGTGATCTATGCTACTGTCAGCTGACTGCTGATACCGCTTCAGCGGATCGTATCAACAATAATGTTGGCCACATCGACGGTAATATCTTGGTCAACTGCGTTAAGTGCAACACCACTCGAAAAGACATGTCGCTTAAGGGGTTTCGGTATAAGAAGTGCTTGAGTTCAACTCGGACAGACTGGTCTACTCGATCGACAAGGAGGAGAAGGATATCTACTCTAAGATGAAGGCCAACAATGATGGAGGTCCATCTATTATCTTCAATCGCTACGCTAAGCGTAATGAAACGAAGATTCACGGTGGTAAGGTCTGTAAGAAAGGTATCGGATACGACGCTAACGCTCTATACCTATGGATCCTTGGTAATGAGATGCCATGCGGTCGATTGACTACGGTTGAAGCGTATGATGGTATAATCGATGACATCAAATCAGACAAGGTATTCGGCTTTCTTGTGTGTGATTGTTGATCACCAGAACACCTCAAATAGTACTTTGGTGAGATGGCTCCAATTTTCAAAAATGTACTGATCGACTGTACGAATGACTTCTTGTTAGTCTTGGGGAAGTTGATTACATGCTTATTTTCGTGAATAACCTTAGGAATTACAGATTCGCTATCTCCAAGAGCATGGTCGCGATGGTAGACGAAAATCTTGAATGCAGTGATCGTCTTTAGCTTATATCCAGAGCTGGGGTAGCTCAGCTTGTCAGCCAACTCCGTAGACCGACTATCCGAAATCACCTTCTTTCGAATATCAGCCTTGCTGCTGATAGCGACAGGCTTATTGAACACATAAGTGGTAGCGAGATTCGGATAGAAGTAGCGAGTATCATCAGGATCGGTCTTACTCACAAGTTCGTACCCAAGAGCAATATGTACCTTAAAAGCACTTGGCTGGTTCGAAAGAACGTTCTCGAGCTTATCGTAGAAATCAGTTGCATCGATACGCTCATATAGGTGTGATTCCCAGATTAAACACGGTACTTGTGATCAGCCTTATAGTCAGGCGGCATATGCTTCTCAAGGGTTTCAGCTGAAAAATTGTACTGCTTAGCCACCAATTTCTTGTTGACTGAACGTGAGTTGCTGCTAACATATACCATCTTACCAGTTCTACCTCGAACCTTAACCCTGTAGCTGCTACCCCATTTGACAGCTTGGATATTTAAATCTCTTTAATCCTGCGAGTTCGTATGCAAACATATTGCCTATATATCTTCGTCTATATTAATATCGTGAGAATCGACTTTATAATTATCGGATCTTGTATCAGGATCGACTTTATATTAGGGCTGACTTTATATCTGAGAAAAAATTTAAATAATCAGCTAAGTTTGCTTTGGTTAAGTTCGGCTTTATTTAAGTAATTCTTCTTACGAGCACGGATTTCTTCGCGATTCTTCTCATCATATTATCGCTGCTTAGCCAGTCGCGTTTGACTTGTTTTTAGATAGTACCGCTTTTATGCGGCTTTGATTCGCTTTGTTAAGTTCGTATTTTTCAGGTGAGTACGTCATCTTTGTATATTACTAACTTTATATTTATCAGAAATAAAATATTATAATAGAAGGTAAAGATCCGCATTCATTACTTTTTATGCCTACTTCGAAGCTTATTAATAATCTACATATCGCTTGCACCCCTGCGGTCTTACGGCGAACAGTATGCCACGCTTTTCAAACAACTTCGGCATCCTTTGCCACATTAAGCTTGTCGCTTGCTCTCTGCAATGAGGCCTTGGCTCCACATTTTTGTCAGCCTCCTCCAATCACCCGAAAGTCCGAGACCACCGACCTTATAAAGTGTTGACCACATCGTGTAATTTCTCGGTCAGCAAAGCAACCAGTGAGAAAGAGCAGCGATGGCGGACAAGAAAAAACCTCACGAAGACGTCCTTACGCGACTCGTGCGCGACTTGGAAACGAAGACGACTTTGTGCTACGTCAAGGACTATCCTGGAGTGGAGCTGGAGCAGTTAAATAATCACGCGAAGAAGCTCGGTCCTTTGGTGAACCCCGTTTTTGGCGAGCAGCCGGCGTTCTTCATCGACGAAGGCCGATTCTGTCCCTATCGAATGGTCGTGTATGGCAATATGAAGGTGGCGGCCAAGATTGCAGAGCTCCTCGGAGAATGGGCGACGTGGTCTGGAGAAGGAGGCAGAGTGACAACCTCGCAAGGGGCGTTCATTCTGGAGCAGCGTCTCGGAAAGCCCAACGTGAGAATGCCCGACGTGGCATACACACCGCGATATGATGACAGGAATTTGACTCGTGAACAGATGTGGACGTATCGTGGCGATCCCTATGTCCCCACCTTTGTTGTTAAAATTGATGAGCTCTCTGGTCGAGGCTCTCAACTCAGCGCTCTTGATCGAAAGATGAGAAATGATTATTTCCAGCACGGCGTCCAGTTGGGTTGGCTGATCGACCCACGCCCAGACCTTCAGCGGATGTATGAGTACTATCTCGACGACCTGACAACAGTGTGTGGAGAGATCTTGACGGTGGTGATGTGCTTCCTGGTCTCAAGATGCGCGCACCTGTGTTGGAAATGGTCTTGAACCAGGATTCGGGTTCGTCGTCAGAAGATGAAGTTGATCTGCTGTGTCCCTATCCACGATGCAACAAGCGATTCCGTTCGTATGGTGCATTCGCTGCTCCTGCCGAATGGCACCGTGAGGAGAGATCTATCTCGAAGTACTTAGCCAAGCGTGAGAACTCATAGTTATCCAGTGTGAACTCATAGCCATCCAGTGTGGCAACTACGCTTCGACAAGTTCCTATCTAACCATATCGCAGAACTCAAAGCTTGCGATCTAAAGGGCGCTGACTGATTTCTTATTCCTGATTGGTGGCTAAGAGAAGATAATAAAAAAAGCTATCTATTGTTTAATAAATATAGTTTGAATGTTGTCGGTCGAGAAGACGTTGCTTTCGCTCTCAGGGTGGTAATTTACGGTAAGGATAAAAAACTGTCGGTGTAATGTTCCATGACCCACTAACTTTCGTTAGCGTCGTGATGTCGGCGTTGTACATGCGTACCATTTCTTCCAGTCCAGACTCGTCACGAGTTCCAATATCCCATGGATTGTACGGGATGATCACACGGACACCACGACGATGGAAGTCAGCGATGACGCCCTTGACGCCCTCGACTCCACCGGGAAGGTCTCGTAGGAGATCCCATTGGTTCCGGTTATCCACACCGATGTTCGGGTATGCAGGCCAGATCAACACACTGTCAATGGGGCCAACACGACTCTGCATGTCATCCACGTACTTGTCCACCGTGTATTGCTGGGTCTCGCGATCGTAGATGGAGCGGTCGTTCATCATAAGAAACGTCTGCACGAAATTCTGCTGCGTCCTTTGAGTTTGCTGGATGTTGTACACGTTGCACGAGTCTTTCGGGTTGTACCGGTTGGTGATCAGCTCCATTTTCTTCCAGGCGGTCCAGTCACGACGCCATGCGTCCACGGACTCGGGGCCATCAGGACCGTCGATCACCTCGTAGCCGTCGGGTTGTTGACCCCAAGCGAGTGCTTGGCCGAAGACGCAGCAGGCCGCGGACAGGTAAAGTCCGGTTAGAGCGCGCATGGTGGGTTCGATGTGCGCGCGACGCAGGAACTTGAGGAGTGACGCTTCGATTGCGAGGAGCCCTACTCAAAGATCGTCAAACGTAGCGCAGTACAGCCACGGAGCCAATCTGATTTGACATATTGAGCGCAAGTCTCAGCACCTGCACATCAAAATCTCCGTCTGGAACAAGGACAGCTTGCGCTGCAAGTTGAAGCTTCTCTCCCCGCTATATACAGGAGCGGGCTTGAAGTCCGGAAATAAATGCACTACGTAGGCGCAGAAATCCAGATCGAAGGTGGAGATGCGGTCCCGCTTGAAGCCTTGGTCGTCAGAGACATTTACACGATAACGCAAGCCAGACAAACATCAGTCGAGAGTGCGTGTCAGCACGGGTACTGTATATGTAGTTAAAGCGGGTGCCTAATGAATTTGATGCGTCACACTGTGAGCACGAATTTGAGTTTACCGTATTTCTTATGTGCTTACTGACAGCTTTGAACCTGCATTATCCATTGACATAAAAGTTACTTTCATGGATGGCTTTCATGAAAGAAATATGTGACGTGTGAAGAATGTTGTGTGGCAATTTAAAGTCCCCGTCATCCGAGAACTTTAACTCGACGTCTGAGGAGATGTTGCTGATAAAATCACCGATAAGTCGCAGTTCGTGCTCCCTAATAGAGTTGCCGGCTTGTATTTCAGGAAACGCTAGCTTGGGGGAGGGCGCGCGAAACGAGAAGTGCCGCCCCCGCAGTTCAGGCGGATGGAACCTTCTAGAACCTTCTAGAAGGTTCCACGGCCGCCCTACATCTGCCCTTTTGTATTACATACTGAATCTATGTTAAACTGAGCCTGCCTCTGATTGGCTGAAACTCTACACCTATCATATCTGATACACTCACCCTCCCTCTGGCGTGCGCGTCCCCTCAGTCTTGCCATTCCCGAAATTACGCTGAAGGCCAGAGGTGCCGTTCCCCGACGGATTAGTCCGACCCCGCGTTTACCCACGCCTGCCTTGTGCGGGCCTGTTTACTTGGGGCTTGGATAGGTCCGTCCTGGGGGATGGCTGTGCCTCCTGCGTCTGCTGCTGCTGCTGCCACTAGCTCGCCTTCCGCCGCTCCCTCGCCTCGCTCGCCGACACCGCCTGCTCCTGCCGCAGTCCCTGCTGTTCCGGCTGCCATGGTCGATGCTCCTGCTTGTGCTGTAGCTCCACCGTCACCTGTACGGGCTCCCGTTGTTTCCTCGTCGCCTGTACGGGTTTCTGTTGCTCCCTCGTCGCCTGTACGGGCTCCTGTTGCTCCCTCGTCGCCTGTACGGGAATACATGTAGGTCTTTGAGCCCCCCTTAAGTTGATTTTACTTCATCTTCTCTTTCGTTTTTTGCGCCTTGCAGTCTCAAACTCTACGATTAGATCTGGGACTTGTGACAAGTTTTCAACCGGTTCCCAGGTCTGCTTCTCTTCTCCAACCCACTCCACAAGGAATTGGGTCCGTCGCTTGTGTGTCCTCTTCTTCACCAAGCGTTTGACGATCTGGCCGATACTTCCATCAGCCAGTACAACCTCGTTGGGTCGCGACAAGCGTGTCGACTCGTTGTACGGTTTCAGCGAACCCGTATTGAATACTGGGTGAAGCTTGTTGCCAGCTTGAATGTTAAGTTCGTAAGCATGGTTGTGTATCTTACGCACAACAGAGTAAGGTCCAATCCACTTCGGACCGAACTTAGTGGATACTGGCAGACCAGTGTGCTTGGGGTCCAAGTGTTTGGTGCTCAAGTACACACGGTCGCCAACCTCAAAGACTTGTTCTTGTCGGTTCTTGTCGTGAACATCACGCATTCGCTCTTGCGTTTGAGCAAGTGTTTCACGGCAGCGAAAAAGAATAGCTGCTTGGCGCTCGTGAAACTCAGCGCCTCGACGACTCTTTGTAACCGTATCGAGCTGCTCCGCTGCAAGCTGTAGCGGATTCAGCGGGATATACCCTAGATCCGCCTCGAACGGTGCGAGCTTAGTACTGGAGTTCATCGTTGAGTTGATAGCAAACTCAGCGTTCGCTAAGTGAATGTCCCAGTCGTCTTGACGTGGACTGACGAAGCATCGAAGATACTCTTCGAGCGTTCGATTCATTCGATCAGTTTGTCCGTCGCCTTGGGCCCGGTGTGCTACTGTCATGCTGAGTGACGTGCTGATAGACTTGAAGACGTGTTGCCAAAATGCAGACACGAATTTTCTATCTCGGTCGGATACAATATTCGTCGGCATACCGTGAAGTTTCCAAATGTTGTCGATGAAGAGACGGGCAACGCCTTCGGCTGTTACCTTCTTCGTTGTCGGCACAAAGTGGCATCTCTTGGTCAGTCGGTCGACGACGACCCAAATCGAATCAACGTCACGCTTCGTTCTAGGCAAATCCGTTATGAAGTCCATGGAGATCGATCTCCAGCGCTCATCGGGAATACTCAATGGTTCGAGTAAACCAGGAGGCTTTGTCAGCCTTGGCTTGTTTGGTCGACATGGTTCGCAGTCAGCAATGAACGTTTGGATCGACTTGAGCATCTTGGACCAGTACCAGCGTCGTGCTAACGTCAAGTACGTTCGCTCGGTACCAGGATGGCCACTGTAGTTGGTGTCATGAATCTCCTTGATTATCGATTGTCTCAACTTCACATCGTTGGGAACAGCGATTCGAGGATGGTCATCCACCGGAGACTGGTCCTACAGCAAGCCGTTTGCCTCCGAATAGTATCGGTATAGCTTGTGGTGCTGGTGTATTTTTCCTTTGACTTTGAGGTGCTTGTACGTCGCTGGATTGCTGCCCGGATTGTCTGGACATCTCGATCTTTGACGTAAGCACCCTTGATCCGCTTCAGAAGCTCTGAATCTGTAGACACTTGACTAAGAGCAATACTGAAGGATGTGGCGTTGAAGCTGGACACACTCAGGTCATGGAAATACTTCGTATCTGGCTGCAAGTCAGGTCTGCGACTCAATGCATCCGCGATGCCGTTCTTCGCACCTGGAAGATACGAGAACGTGGGTTGGTACTCAGCTAGAATGTCGTACCACCTAGCCAATCGGCGGTTCGCCATCTTCTGTGTGAACAACCCTTCGAGACTTTTGTGATCCGTCTCGACGATCGGTGGTTTGTCCAAGCAGTAAATTCGAAAAGCTGCTAGCGCGTGTACGATAGCAAGTAGCTCCTGCTGCTGTGTTGGATAGTTGAGCTCCGCGGATTTCATCTTTCGACTGGTATACGCGATGGGTCGCTCAACTCCGTCCACGACTTGGAATAATACTCCACCAACAGCGAATTTGCTCGCATCAGTGCGCAGATGCATGGACTGGCTGAAGTTAGGGAGGTGCAACACTGGAGGATTACACAGTCGCCTCTTCAGCTCCTTGAAATTCTTCAACTGCTCATCATCGAATTGGATCTTCGCGTTCCTCTTGTTCTTCTTCTTCAGAGTGAACATTGTTGCAGTAAATACTGCGTAGCAGTATTTACTGCAACAATGTTTTTTTGGACAACGATTTTTTGGACAAAATCGTTGGACGTAACCAGTCAACCCAAGGAAGCTGTGAAGTTCCTCTTGTGTTCGTGGTACTGGCCAGTCCGTGATGGTTTGTACCTTGTCCGGATCCATTCGTACACCGTTGCGTCCTACGAAGTCCCCAAGACGCGGAATCTCGTCGGCACAGAAGACATACTTGGCAAGCTTGACGTACAACTTGTTGTCACGCAGGATATTTAATGTCTTGCGCAACGCCTTCAAGTGGTCGTCAATGCTCTGAGACTTCGTGAAAACGTAGATGTCATCATAAAACGACTTGGTGTTTTCCAAACCTCGGAACAGCTTTGACGTTTAACGATGCATCGTCGCTGGCGCATTACAGACTCCCATGAGCAGAACAAGATACTCCCAGAGTCCGTTTGGCGCTTGAAATGCTGTGAACTTGATATCCTCTTCACGCATACGTACTTGATAGTACGCGGACATCAAATCCATAGTGGAAAACCAGTACGCTCCGGACATCGCGTCAAGAATGTCCTCCTTCCTCGTCATTGGGATACTTTGGCGTACAGTGTTGGAGTTCAAGTACCGGTAGTCGTGTACAATCCTCCAGCCAACTGGTTTTCGTACACAGAAGGTTGGAGCAGCATGTGGACTGATGCTTGGACGGATGAGCTTCTTCTTCACCATGTCTACAACCCAACGCACAATCTCGCGTTGCTGCTCTGGCGATTGACGCCATTGTTGCCGATACATTGCAAGATTCGAATCCTCCACGTCAATCCTATGCTCAATCTCTCGTTTCTCGGGTAAACCTTCTGGGAGCTCAGGACGGAACACATTGTCCATATACTCCATGAGTAACTGGTACGCGGGATTCCCCTTGAAGCTATCCCAGTCCGTATCCAGATACCGCTGTGCTTTCGCACTTCCGACGTTGTCGGGTTGATCTTGCCGTTGCAGTGAGCGAGCAACTTGCTTGATCGTCACGTTCGTCAGAACCAACATAAAGTCAGGTTCATCGATCGACTTGGTCTTGATTCTCAGGAACTTTCGTAGTTTCTTGCGAGTGATGAACTTCGTCTGGACACCAGCCTCGTCAACGACACCCATCGTGAACATATTTTCCACGACAGTGCCTCTGCCCCCAGTACTGCTGCTATCCCCAGCCTCTCGTACAGTACCGACGCGTTTCGACAATTCCAAGTTGTCCTTCACCGCCGAACCCTTGCCGGCTGAAGCGTCTCCTGGTTGTTCGCAAACAACGCTTGGGCTCTCTTTCTGCGTTGCGTCGCAAACAGTTTCAGCCGCGGACTTCACATCCGTTTCCAGCGCGGCACCTCGACAGGAATCGGGTCTTTTCGCCGATAGGCCTTTCGCCTCGACAGATCTCCGAAGCCCGGAGGCAATCACCGGTCCGCCTTCCTCGATCGGTCCACTGGTTTCCCCTGTTCGCTTCCAATGCAGAGTCTTCACTTGCGTTCCTTCGATACATCGACCTCTCCAGT